GGGGGGGGGGGGGGACCAGACGGACAGGGCACGCCAGCAACGTGGGCTTCCCTAGGAGAGATTCCTCCCTTTTCCTTCACCGCAACGGGCACCGGAGGGAGTTTCCTACAGAGGGTGCTGGTCAGGGAGGAAAGGGCATGATGTCAGGCACCCAAATTCCCTTTCTTTTTCTTCTTGGGGCGGCTGTGAAGGTCACAGTTGGCAAAATCCAGCGCTGTGCTCTTTTCCCTTTGCAGAAATATGTGCAAAAACAGGTCACTCCTCTGTTCAATTATTTTAAGAACATCACCTCCAACTGGGCCACCATCCCCAACAGCCTGATGGACCAGTGAGTCTTGTGGGGCAGCGGGGGGGGGAGGGGGAGGGAGGGAAGGACCAAAGGAAACTAGAACGGCCTGGGAGCCAGAGTGGATTCCTTGTGGTTGCAGGTGGTGGTGGAGGGCATCCTTCCCCATTAGCCCCATGGGGAACAATCCCCAGGAGGTAGAGGGGAAACAGCTCCTGGAGTGAAAGGAAGGGGACAGAGATTCTTATAGGCTCTGTCCCTTCCCCCCCCCCAACTGCTTTGTCCTTGTGACTCAGGTACAACCAGATTCAAGCCATCAGCACCGCCTGCTCCTATGGCAACTCTGAGTGCGAGAGGCTTGCCACAGACTTTTTCGATGCCTGGAGGAGAAACCCTGCTGTGAACCCGTAAGTGCCTACCTTGTCCGTGCTGCTTCCTGTTGCTTCTGAAAATGCCAGGAAAGGACTGGTTGACGTTCTCACCTCGGAGCAGGCCATGGCCTCGTTGGGGTTTGGTTCACCCTCGTTCAACGTTCAGGGCTGTCCAGTGGGTCACACCCTTTCCTGCAGGTCCTTAGAGGGCAACCCAGACCCCTCTTGGGGCTGCTTAAAGACCCCCACTTCCACGGACAGCAGCCCACTTTATCATCAGATGGCATTATCAAAGTAAACATGCACTTTTAGACAGCTGTGCTGGTGAGTTACGATTCTTCGACAGCTAAGCTTGCTAGATCATCATAACACACCCTTTTTATAGGCCAGTCAGACACTTAACATTGCAAAGGACTTTGCTTAGGAACCAGTAAGACCCGCTTGTGAACCTCTCCAAAAATCCTGCACAATTTCAGGTGCTCCGTCGTTTGCATATCCATATGCTTTCCCTTTGCATTTTAATGATAAACTATGCAGGATGAGCAAAAACATGCTGATGCCTTTGATGTAGACAGTTTTTCCTCTGCAACATTTGGGACATACTCATTATTAATTGCTACCATGTTTGTTTTGATGAAGAATGTTCTCCTCCTGTCCCACCCTTTGCTTTTTAATGCACCCCTGGCCACCATCTCCTCATAGTTCCTACCTTGCTTTCAGGATCCCGCCCAACCTCCGCTCCTCCATCTACTGCAGCGCCATCAAAACAGGTGGTGAGGAGGCCTGGGACTTTGCCTGGGAAATGTTCAAGAATGCTACTGTGGTCGTTGAGGCTGACAAACTCCGTTCAGCCCTTACCTGCAGTAAGGAGCCCTGGATCCTCCAGAGGCAAGTGGCCTTCTAGCCATCGTCACAGGCTTTCTGTTTTGTTTTGGGTGTGGGGAAAGCTATCTGGAGCGCTGAAGTCAATCTGTCTGGGATGAGCAGGGAGGAGCCCGCCCTGCAACCCTGTGGTTGATGTTTCCCCCTTCTGTGGCACCAGAGTTCAGTCTTGTGGCCTCCACACCAATTCGATCCATACTCAAGACTAGGAGAAGAGAGATGAGGAAGGAGACGTGGGCTCTGGAGCTGGAGCAGAAACGGGGGGGGGGAGTGGGGAGAGGGTGCCCCAACTCATGGCCATGCCCACCCCACAGATACCTTCAATATACTCTGGATCCCAGCAAGATCCGCCGACAGGACGCCACGTCCACTATCACCAGTATTGCGAGCAACGTCATTGGGCAGAGCCTGGTCTGGGACTTTGTGCGTGCCAACTGGAAGACTCTTTTCAACCAGTGAGTGTGTTGTGTTGATGATGAGAGGGTTGGTGGATGTTGGGGGGTCAGGGAGGAGGACTGCTCGCCTGCCCGGGCTAACCTTGTCCCATTTTTTTTCCAATCCCCACTTCCCGGCAACCAGATACGGTGGAGGTTCCTTCTCTTTCTCTAACCTCATCCAGGGAGTGACACAGAGGTTTGCTTCTGAATATGAACTCAAGCAGGTAATGGCCCTTTCTTGTGGGACCCACGTTTAAAGTGAACTTCACTCTTGCGTTTCAGGAGTTTTTGCTCTTCTCTCCCCTTTCCCCCTCCCTCCGTTTTCTTCTGGGCCACCATTCTTTGCTTTACCCAACATGTCCTCTTTCTGGTGCTTGAGATGCATTCAGCTCATCATTTGGGAACTTTTTTGCCCTTTTAAAGAAAACATTCCCAGATGAGCATCGTCTCTTGCACTATTGTCTTTGTCTTATGTGCCCCATTTCCCTCCTTTCTTTCTTAATCCTCCACTTCATCTGTATCTATGCTGCTTTTTAAGGGTGTTTTCTGACACAGAGCAACTCTTTCAGAGTTTTTTTAGGTATCGAATACTCAGAGGTGGTTTACCGTTCCCTCCTCCTGGGTCACATCCTGGGACTGTGCAGCTTGCCCAGGGCCCCACAGGCTGGCTGTTCCTCTGGGAGGCCCTGTGGTGAACTGAAACTCTACAGCCAGGTTCACAACTTGCCAATGCATTAGAGTCAAAATCCAGCCACAGGAGGCTGTAAGAGTCCCAGTTAGACCCACAATGAAACAGTCTCCTGACCCAGAATATCAAATAACTAATATCAAATACATTTCAGATAGGAAAGCCTAAACCCAAAACCCAGTTACAGTGGTGCCTCGCTAGACAGTTACCCCACATGACAGTTTTTTCGCTAGACATTGGCTTTTTGCAATCACTATAGCGATTCGCAAAACAGTGATTCCTATGGGGGAATTTCACTGGACCATGTTTGGTCCCTGCTTCGCACACCAATTTTCACTAGACAAGGATTTTGACAGCTCCCTCCACGCTCACAAACAGGGGGTTTCGGGACCTAAGCTTCGCAAGACAGTGATTTAAACAGCCGATCGGCGGTTCACAAAGCGGCTTTCCTATGGCCGATTTTCGCTCGACAATGACGATTCTTCCCCATTGGAACACATGAAACAGGTTTCAATGCATTCCAATGGGGACATGCTTTTCGCTAGACAATGATTTCGCTAAACAGCGATTTCAGTGGAATGGATTATCATTGTCTAGCGAGGCACCACTGTAGATAGGCCCACGCTCCAGGAGAGCACATGGCCGAGAAAAGACACCCTGCCTCCCCTTTACGGAAACAGGAAAAGAGACTGATAGGTGGACCCCGAGAACCGCAGTCCAAGAAAAGTTGCAGCAAAGGGTCCAAAGAGTAGATTTGCTTCTCCCAAAGGCCCCACCTGGATCTTTGGGCTGGAGAGGTGCTTGGAGGATTGCAGGCCAACCAATACAGCCAGCGGCTCTCAAGGGCAGGACGGCAGTCTCGCTTTCCTAACGTTCATGACGGCAACTGACCACGCACAGTTGGAACTCTAGAGCAGAAATGAAATCACAGATTTTTCTTAAAGAAAAATGAAGCACACACGTACATTTATATAAGAAAATTGATATAATCAGTCTCAATTTTCATCCCTTTTAAAAATACAGCTACTGAGATAAATTATCATTCGTCTTCATCCACCTGGCGATGTCATCCTTTCTAGTGTGGGTGGAGCGTAGAGGGATGTATATGGAGAAAAAAAGTAATGATCGTGTGGAAAATTAAATTATCAAGAACCTTTTAGCAAGTTGTGTGCAGTGCAGAGTATAGTTTAACAAATGTACAAGATGATGATGGATATCCTTCTCACCCCACCCTTTCTGTCTCTCACGACAGCTGGAGCAGTTCAAAGCAGACAACATGGACGTGGGGTTTGGCTCGGGCACCCGGGCCCTTGAGCAGGCTCTGGAGAAGACCCGGGCCAACATCAATTGGGTGTCAGAGAACAAAGAGCCGGTGATGAAGTGGTTTGAGAGAGAGACATTGTGAGGTGGCTAGTCCTGTGGCTGGGAGAAAGAGTGGGACCAGGGCGTCTCTGGGGTGCCTCTTAGTGGCCCAATCCTCTCCGCCTCTTCTCCAACATCCTCCAAGCTCTGTAATGCCTCCTCTCGCGGCCTCTCTGTGTGTCAAATGACCACACACCGGCCTCCCCTGCCCCCACTGTTAATCCAATCGCACCTTGTTCTTGACAGACCTCTGACGAAGCTTTGCAATGCCTGCTCTAGTTTACATGCTCTCATGATGTACACAACTGCCTTTTGCATGTAGAGCTACTGTTGGTGGCCTCTTACTTGTGTTCCTACCATGCTTTGCACGACAGAGTTTTATTTTGCACCACATTTCAGTGACCATATCAGAGGTCCTAGAAGGATCAGGTGAGAGGTAAGGGTGGGACATGAACTCTTTTTCTCCATGACTATGATATCCCTCCTGTCCAAAAAGTTCTGTTTAATTTCGCAACTCCAAATGTGTAAATTAAAGAAGTTTCTTGAATTATATATTCAGTTTCAAAAGCATGGTGGGAGTGGAGAGAGGGAGGAGGACAGGACCATATCAGAGGTCCTAGAAGGATCAGGTGAGAGGTAAGGGTGGGACATGAACTCTTTTTCTCCATGACTATGATATCCCTCCTGTCCAAAAAGTTCTGTTTAATTTCGCAACTCCAAATGTGTAAATTAAAGAAGTTTCTTGAATTATATATTCAGTTTCAAAAGCATGGTGGGAGTGGAGAGAGGGAGGAGGACAGAAACAGCTGTGTGTGTGTGTGTGTGTGTGTGTGTGTGTGTGTGTGTGTGTGTGTGTGTGTGTGTGTGTGTGTGTGTGTGTGTGTGTGTGTGTG